CCCCTCGAGGATCGTGGCCCCATAGGAGTTCCACCGAGGGCGCCACTAACAAAGTGCGCGTGGCGGTCTCGGGCCATTTCGGAACACCCCTCACGGGGATCGTGGCCACATAGGAGCTCCACCGAAGGCGCCAAGAGCAAAGTGCGCATGGCGGCTTCGGGCCATGTCGGCACACCCCCGACGAGGATCGTGGCCCCATAGGGGCTCCATCGATGGTCTCAGTGGCAAGGTTCCCATGGCGGCCTCGGGCCATTTCGGCACACCCTTCGCGAGGGTCGTGGCCCCGTAGAAGCTCCACCGAAGGCGCCAGTAGCAGAGTGCGCATGGCGGCCTCGGGCCATTTCGGCACACCCCTTCACGAGGATCGTGGCCCCATAGGGGCTCCACCGACGGTGCCAGTAGCGCAGTGCGCATGGCGGCCTCGGGCCATTTCGGCACACCACCACGAGGATCGTGGCCCCATAGGAGCTCCACCGAGGGCGCCAGTAGCGAAGTGCGCATGGCGGTCTCGGGATTTTCGGCACACCCCCGACGAGGATCGTGGCCCCATAGGGGCTCCATCGATGGTCCCAGTGGCAAGGTTCCCACGGCGGCTTCGGGCCATTTCGGCACACCCTTCGCGAGGGTCGTGGCCCCGTAGGAGCTCCACCGAAGGCGCCAGTAGCAGAGTGCGCACGGCGGCCTCGGGCCATTTCGGCACACCCCTTCACGAGGATCGTGGCCCCATAGGGGCTCCACCGAAGGCGCCAGTAGCAGAGTGCGCATGGCGGCCTCGGGCCATTTCGGCACACCCCCAAAAGGATCGTGGCCCCATAGGGAGCTCCGTCGAAGGTCCCAATGGCAGGGTTCCCATGGCGGCCTCGGGCCATTTCGGCGCACACCTCACGAGGATCGCGGCCCCATAGGGAGCTCCATCGAGGGCGCCAGCGGCAGGGTTCGCACGGCGGCCTCGGGCCATTGCGGCACGCCCCTCACGAGGATCTTGGCCCAATGGGGAGCTCCGCCGAAGGCCCCCAGCGGCAGGGTTCCCAGGGCGGCCCCGGGCCATTTCGGCGCACTCCTCACGAGGATCGTGGCCCTATAGTTGTGCTGATTCAGCAACCGCGCCTGGGCGTCGTACTCCGCCTTCTCGACGTGCACTTGCACCGACACCTCCTCCCTCATGGCTCTCAAGGCTCTCTCCTGCTTCTGCTTTTTGGTCAGACGGACGCCGTCCTTGTCGTCGTCGGCGCCCGCGAAGACGGCCACGAACGTGTTCCTGAGCATGTCGGGCTCCGGCGGGATGCCGTGGCCACATAGGGAGCACGGGCAAAGATGGTGTTCACAATTGCGGTATTCACAACTGCATATGGTTGGGTCCTTCGCCGGGCTAATTTGAATACAGGGATCTGGCGACCCCCGGCTACGCCGAGACTCGGATGCCACTTGTGTGGTGGAAAAGCAGGTGGGACTGAGCTAGACGGCTTGCGTGCGGAGATGGCGTTTTGTCCCCTACCCCTACCCCTCACCCCAAGGTCTGGACGGGGCGCCCGGCGACCGATTGGAGCGTCCAAGATGGCCTCGGCGAGGAGGCAACAACCACTGACGTTACTTACTTGGGCCTATTTCGGCCTTTTGGGGGGGATGCTAAATATCCCTTGTGGAATCGAAGTCCTCCAAACTGGCCCCAGCGCCCCCAAGAATGCTCCAAGAGGGCCCAAAGAGGCGACCATGGGGCCCCAAGACGCGCTCAGAGGGCGTCGAAAAGGCCCCCCCGAGGCACCCAGCAGGCCCCGACAGGCCCCGAGGCACCCAAACCGTTTCAGGAGGCCCCCCGGACCGCCAAGAGGGCCCAAAGACGCCCCAAGAGGACAACAAGAAGCCACCAATAGACATCTAAAAGAAATCCAATAAAACATCCTCCAAGAGGACTCTGGCCTCTTCCTCTTCCTCCTCCTCCGCCTCCGCCTCCTCTTCCTCCTCCTCCTCCTCCTCCTCGCCTCGTCCCTCCTCCTCGTCGTCCTCCTCCTCCTCCTCCTCCTCCTCCTCCTCCTCCCCCCTCCTCTCCTCCTCCTCCCTCCTCCTCCTCCTCCTCCTCCTCCTCCTTCCTCCTCCTCCTCCTCCTCCTCCTCCTCCTCCTCCTCCGCCTCCTCCTCCCTCCTCCTCCTCCTCGTCCTCCTCCTCCTCCTCCTCCTCCTCCTCCTCCTCCTCCACCTCCCCCTCCTCCCCCTCCTCCCCCTTCCTCTTCCTCCTCCCCCTCCTCCTCCCCCTCCTCCTCGACCTCCTCCTCCTCCTCCTCCTCCTCTTCCTCCTCCTCCTCCTCCTCCTCCTCCTCCTCCTCCTCCTCCCCCTCCTCCTCCTCCTCTTTTTTGGGTCCCGCCCCGCGGCACCTTGCCCAGGGCCGTGGCACTCAACTACGCCCGTGACGCTGGAGCCATCTTGAGCTTCCAAGCGCGGAGATCGCGCATTTGGTGGAGTGGCGGGGGCGTGTGTCCCATAAGTCCCATGGGGCCTTCGTGCCTACTCGCCCTGGGGTGCCAACAGAGTTGCACGCGTCATGTGCTACAACAGGGGGGAGCAGTCGGCAAGGACCTCACAGTGAGGAGGTGAACCGACCGTCCCCCTACGCAGGACAGCCGGCACGCATGAGCAGCGAGTCAAGGGGCGGCAAGGCGCTGACCTGTAATTCGACCGTGTTGCGTGAGTTCCTCGCCGATGAGCGAACGGCCTCCCCTGAACGTGAGGAGGGACGACTCCCCGTGTGGGGGCGGAAGGCCGTCTCTCGTGCGAGGCAGTCCTATCGCGCGGAATCGCTTCTGTTTTCCATGGCTACATGGAGTCCCCTCCTCCTCCTCATCATCAGCACCACCAACAAAATCAGCATCATCATCCTGATCATCACGACCATCATCAACACCACCATCATCATCATCCTCATCCTCATCCTCATCATCATCATCATCATCATCATCATCATCATCATCATTGTCATCATCATCATCATCATCATCATCATCATCATCATCATCATCAGCAGCAGCAGCAGCAGCAGCAGCATCCTCATCATCAGCATCATCCTCAGCAACATCAGCATCACCAGCGTCGTCAGCACCATCATCGCCGCCATTGTCATTACCATGGTCAACATCGTCAGCATCATCTGCATCAGCATCATCAGTATCCCGCCGTCTCTCCCTCCCTCCATCGCTCCCTCCCTCCCTCCTCCTTCCACGATTCGACAATAGGAATACTTTTTCTCCCTTGGAGTTGTCCGGAAGGTTTCCCGCACCCTCTGCGTGCGTTTTTCTTCCGCACAGGATTTCCCCCAAAAGAACAGTTTCTCACAGCGGGTTGCAATCCATTTGTTTCCGGTGTTTCAGAATTGTGCTCCCGCTGCAGCGTGGGCATCATGTTCGGATCGGCGCGTTGCTCCCGTCGTTCAGGATGGCGCTCTCGCCCCAGCGCGGGCCACCTCTCTGGATCCGCGTCATGGTTCATTGTGGTCCCCCCCCCCGCATCATTTCCCTTTTCTCCGACTTCCCCAGGTCCTCCAGTTCCTCCCACTCCTTCCGCTCCAATTCCTGCTGCTGGTGCTGTTCGTCTCGCCCCAGCGCCGGCCACTCTTCTGAATCTGAAGACTTACTCATCGCGGTCGCCCCATCAGTGCCCCTCCTCCGCCTTCTGCTGGTCCTCCTTCCCTCCCGATCCTTCCGCTGTAGCTCCTCCTGATGTGTTCTTCGCCGTCATCCGTTTCCTCCCGCTCGTCCTGCTGCCAACCCACCACCTCCTCCTTATGTGCCTGCAGCTCCCATGCTTCCGATTGCGCACAACACGAAAAGGTCATCCGTGTGAGCCGCAGGCCTGCTATAACACGCGTCCGCGAGCGCACGTAGCTTGTCCCCCTCCCCCTCTCCCTCCTCCTCCTCCTCCTCCTCCTCCTCCTCCTCCTCCTCCTCCTCCACCTCCTCCTCCTCCTCCTCCCTGGTCTCTCTCCTCCTCCTCCTCGTCCTCGTCCTCGTCCTCCTCCTCGTCCCCCTCCTCCTCCTCTGGTTCCCTTTCCATCCTCCCCCTCATGGGGTACGACGTCTTACCCGACCCTTTACTCCACTGCATGCTCCTCCACGTCCCTGATCGAGGCAGCTCCCCTGGGCATCTTCTCTGGATGGGCTTGTGGGGGTGCGCGAAGCGTCTCGGCGTCTAGCGCATCTGCGTCCCTCCCTCCGCCTCCTGTGCTCGCTCCTGCTGATGGCCCCTCGCTCCCAGCCTGGAGCCTGGTCGATCCCCCCCCCCCCACCGACGCCCGCCTAGGCGCCCCCTCCCCCCCGCAGAACCCCGCCCGGGCGATCCGCGAGGGACGTTCTCGGCGGCGAGCGAGGGGGGGAAGTGAGAAGGAGAAGGCCTTCTCAGAAGGCGGCTGGACTTCTCAGAAACTCTTGCGCCTTCCGAGAAGTGTTTGTTTGCCACCGGGGAAGGCCTAGAAAGCTTCTCAGAAGGCCGGGGGACTTCCGGACCTTCCGAGAAGGCCTTCTCCTTCTCACTCCCCCCCCTCGCTCGCACAAGAAACGGGCCTCACGCGAGAGGCCATACCGTCGAGACCTACGGCAAGGGCGGGCGGCAAGGACGCAAGGGCCCTGCACGCTGAAAATGGCGGCGGGGAGCCAACACCCTAGAAGGGCTGGCAAGCGAGAACCGCGAAGGGCGGGCCGCGGAGGCCAGAGCGCATGGGGTACCCTGAGGACATCCGTGCGTCCTGACTGCGAGTGCTGACTTTGAGTGCCCCTGCGCCATGGCTTGCGCGGGCCGCCGGCGTGGGAGAAGGCGGAGCTCTCGCGAGAACCCTGCGCGGGAAGCCTGCGCGAGAACGTCCTCGCCACCGACCCCGTCGTCTTGTCCTCCGCCGCCCAGGTGGAACCACGCGCGAGCCGTCCACCAAGACGGAATCTCCAGGCACCCACTGCGCCCTTCCCTCCGGAATCCCCCCGGCCCCCCCTGTGCCGGCCCCCCCCTGCTCCGCCCGCCGCCTCCTCTCGAGGCCCCCTCGGGTCCTGGGCCTGCAGGGCCCTCTCGTGTGCCACCCACTCGTCGCGCGTAATGAGGCCATCGCCGTCCAAGTCTATCTCGTCGAAGGTCGGGACGCGTTTCTGGCGGCGGCCGGGAAGCTGCGACAGATATGCCTCGAGGCAAGACGAAACGTTAGCCAGCGTGGCCTCCAAACAGCAAGTGATTGCGCTGTGGATGTACAAGCTGTGTGGGTGATTGCGCTGTGGATGTACAAGCTACGTGGTGCTAACTACATGGTGCAGCTAGTGTTTGTGAGTCCAGAATTGTCAACTCCATGGCTCGCGCAAGCATCCCACCCTCCCACCCGCCAACTTGTGTTGACAAGCCCATGCGGCCACGACTGCGGATGTGCTCGGCACTGGCTGACGCTTCTCTGCGACCGCCCGAGGCACGCGCCAGCTCGCGCGTGGAGAAGCCAGCTGGTCTGGCACCGCGGGTGCAAGCACGACGGAGGTTGCCGATGGGAACTTCATAACCGGGCCGACTCAAACGTGAGGACGCATGGGGACCAATCCAAAAAAAAAAATCCAGACGGGGGGGGGGCGGGGGTCCAGGCAGAAGTCGGGGAGGTGACGGAACTTCACAGCGCGTCTCAGAAGCCGCGCTGGGGCGCGGGCACTTCAGAGCGCGACGGTGACTCGAGCGGGCGCGGTGTCATGCAATGTCGGCAACGGAAGCGACGATGACGACCGTAGCGACGGTGGTGATGATGACGATGACGACGGTAAGGCACATGACGGCACCCATGCGGGTGACGACGATGGCGATGATGATGATGATGATGATGATGATGATGATGATGATGATGATGATGATGATGATGATGATGACGATAATGATGATGATGATGATGATGATGATGATGATGATAATGATAATGATGATGATGATGATGATGATGATGATGATGATGATGATGTCCAAGTGTCTGTGATGAAGGTGATTGACTTGTGATGGGGGCAATGGCGGCGATTGATGGTGACTATAGCGGCGGTGATGCGATGGCGCTGATGAGGGGTGATGGTGGCAAGTGCGTGCGTGCAGAAATTTAAGAAAGCTGGCAAACCTTGAACTGACAAACCAATTGTTTTCATGTGTTTGAATAGCTATGATTTGAAATGGAAGACTTTCGGCACGCGCGCGTGACGGATACGTGCACTGAGCGCATGCTGGATCAACGAGGATGCACAGCGTAGTGAGGTGAGAATGCGGGTTGTGGACCAGATTCCTAAAATCATATGGTATGCGTACGACTTCAGCACATGCGCGCGGGCAGAAATTCGGCAAGATGTCTGATGATGGGCCTGAGGGTATTTAATCTTTTAAGTTGAAATGCTTGCAACACTGATGTGCTTGGCACGATGCCGACACGTGCGCGCGCGTGAAGCCCTTGTATTGCCTCGGCAGAGGGGAGTCCTGAAACATGATCCGCTGAGATAAACGAGCGTGCGCACACAGAACTATTTGACAGGGATGAGAGGGGGGTCATCCCCGGCCCTCCGGGGATGGTGCGATCTCGTAAGGAAAAACTGGGTAGACCCTAAGGCACGGATACGGCTGCTCCCCGTGATGGGCGTGTGTTCCACCCCCACCGCCAGAACTTGGAGGAGGGGATCCTCCTCCTCCTCCTCCTCCTCGCCATCCTCCTCCTCCTCCTCCTCCTCCTCCCCTCCTCCTCCTCCTCCTCCTCCTCCTTCTCCTCCTTCTCCTTCTGCTCCTCCGCCTCCTCCTCCTCCTCCTCCGACCCCTTCGACGACCTGGATGCGAACCTTATCAGCTCGGACAGCGACATACTCATGCCCGAGGATGTCGAAGGGGCTTGGGATACACCAGAGGCGAGGGATACTACTCAAAAGGCGGCGAACACGGATGAGACCATGCACGACCCAAATGCAGCCACGACCAACTCGTCGGACCTGTTGAAGGAAACCCAAAGGGCTACCTCACAGACGATGGAGCAGCGGATCGCGGACAAAGCAGCAGGGGTGGACACCACAATCATGGACGATACTTGGGAAGTGGCAGCACAACTACAAGCCTTGGAGTCGACTGACACGGCCCCCGAGTACATAAAGCAGAGTGCAGCATACAAGACCGACCCGCACGGAGCTGAACGACTAGGGCGACGATATCATCAGTTCATCGGCACTCTGGAGAAATTCTATTGCATGGCTTACAAAGTGGACTTGGCAGACAGATCAGTATTTTGCGGACGTGGACACCCATACGAATTCAAGACAGCGCCGCTGAAAGAAAAAGGAGACCGACGATCACGTTACGCCGCACATCGCACAGACTGGTGGAACAGGGCCGACACCGTGCTGAGCACCCTGGTCAAACTACAAGAACGCGGACGAGGCCTACAGCAGCAAGAAGCACTTGCCAGCGCAGGACGACGACTCGTTCGGGAAGGACTGCCTCCAGTTGGGAAGGGAGCCTCGCACACCGCCATGCTCCACCAGCAGATATGGGCAGATCGGATGGCAGCGCTTGAAACGGTGCCACTGGACATACTTCAGGGCATGGCAGCACAAGCAGCACACGAGAAGCGGATAGCCATCAAGCAAGACATGCGGTACAGCAGCAAGCAGTACAGTCTATGGTTGGCGCAGGCAGAGAAGACCATCGGAGTTCTGCATCGGATCACTAAGCCGCCACCCCGACATGAGCATGAGATACATACTGAATACGGCACCGTATGCAGCCCGAAGGATATGGTCGACCAGAAAGCTGCTGATTTTCAAAGGATGTGGACATGCGCAGATGTACCACATACTTCACACGAAGGTTACTTGAAAGAACTCAGACGAGCTGCGCGAGAAGACGATGAACGCGACCCCTGGACCATCGAGGACCTGATCAGGTGTTTGAAAGGCGAACCCGACAAGGGAAAGGGAGTGGACATGATTTGCCCGACGGACCTGAGAAGATTACCCACCGCAGGGAAGCAGACTCTTATCAGCCTCTTTAACCAATGCGAGCGGGATCTTACCTGGCCGTGGCAGTTGTTACTTTCAGTGGTGATGGTTATGCCAAAACCAAACAAAGGAGATAGAGCACTTGCACTGCTACCACAATTGTTTCGGTGCTGGGAGCTTCTTCACAGAGACAGAGTACGACAATGGGCGCGAGAGCACGAGAGAGAATGGGATGCGGCAATCGCAGGCAACAGCTGCTTGAGGGAAGCGCCCAGGAGACTCATCACGGACGAGTGTGCAGACGCGTTGGATGTATGGGAAACGGTGTTGCTGGCAGATATCGAAAAGTTCTACGACAGCTTGAGAATCGACAAAGTGATACCTGCGGCATTGCAGATGAATTTCCCAGCAAGGCCGTTATACCTCATGATGCTCCAACACTCAGCTACCAGAGTCCTGCGATGCCATGGCGCCTTCTCGGAGCCGATCCTCCCCGACAAATCGATATTAGCAGGCTCCAGACATGCGAACAACGTGGCCAAGACGGTGGCTTACGCAGCCATGGCAAAGCTCACAGGCACCACGTGCTTACCTCGACCTATCCCGCGGGCATGGTTCGACGACATCAGTATTCGCATTGTGGGAAGCAGAAAACAGATCACCACGGCCACGGTCGAGAGCACAAAGACACTATTCCTTGCACTGGGAGAACAAGGGCTAAAATTGGCAGATAAAACTACGTTGCTGGCAACAAGCTGCACCGATGCAAAAAAGATCCAGAAGCAGCTCAAGACGGCAAATGTGACCATCAAGATCGGCACCGAAGGACGGGACCTGGGCGCGGACAGAGCTGTGCGAGGCACCTCCACCAGACCGACTCACGGAGCACGCTGGAAAGGAGTGAGAAGACGGCTTGGGGCGGTTGGCAGGAAACTCCGACGGCTACGAGTACGCAAGCGAGCAGGAGTCACACAGCAGGGAGCCATGGCATCATTAAAGTACGGCGCGGCGTTCCACGGTATGTCCCCGACAGCTCTCCAACTCGCGCGGCGACGATACGCACAAGCGCTCAGAAGACCATGGCCAGGGCGCTGTCTAACAACATACTTAGCAGTGGAAGGTACGGACCCAACCTACACAATCATGAAGGGCCAATTCAGTCATTGGTTCAGTTGCTGGAGCCACAGCCCCGACCTCCGCGAGCAGGTAAGACGAGCCTGGCCGAGAATATATTTTCGGCTACTCCGACTGCCAGAACACAAAAGATGGCGACAGAGGCGAGGACCTGTGGCATCACTCATTCTGACATTGTGGGAGATCGGATGGGACTCACGCGGACCTGACATCTGGCTGGATAGTGAAGGAAACCAATGGAAGTTCCCCCTGCACGGCGAGCAGGGAGACCCAACCGACATCCTGGACGCGTTGATGATGGACGTATCCTTACTTCTATGGCGTAAAGCAGCAGAACACCACAACGGCGGTGGCCTCGAACGTAGTGGAGCAGATATCACGGACCTCAGGAAACACCTTGAATGGCTTCTGAGACGTGGCAATTACCAAGAGTACGGTGCGCTCCTGATCGCGACGTGTGCAGGAACATGGGCAAGAGCTCGGAAAAGAGCATGCTTTGGAAAAGGATCGGCACAATGTGAATGCGGTCACGAAGAGACGGACTACCACAGGATATGGGGATAATGCGATGCACGGACAAGTGGCAAAGCCTTCGACACCACCGGCCGACTAAAGACTAGGGCGGAAGGTGGACACGAAGCAGTACCTGCGTTTTGGCTGAGGGGTATAACCCCACGGGCATGGTCAGTCCCACCAGATTGCGACACGGAGGAGCAGGCCAACAACATGGGCGAGTGCCTCCAGGAAGGGTGCATCACCACGGAGGACGGCTCCCCGATCGTAGCGTGCGGAGATGGGTCTGGTGGGAAGAACAGCGCAGATTGGCGATACCGACGGTGTGGCTGGGCATGGGTGCGACTACGGCAGCAAGGCGACGTCTATGAGCTCGCAGCTGGACAGTTTGGACCCCTCCCAGGCCGCCGCCAAACCAACAACAGAGCGGAGCTGTGGGCCCTCCTCAGTTGCTTACGTAGCACGGCAGGGGCACTACACTTCTGGACGGACAGCGAGGTGGTGTATAAAGGTTG